ACTCTGTTGATTTAATTAAAAATAAAAATAGCATATCTTATATTTCTTAATATATTTTTTCTTTTGTTTTAATTATATACCTAAATTTTAATTCTAAATTTCAAATTCTCCTACAATTCTACCTTTACAAGTAAGTCGCAACTTTATTCTTAAAACCCTACTTTCTTGAGTGGCGTGCACTTGCCAAGGTTGTAGTCTTCATTTTGTTGGGTTTATTGTTAAACACATAATATGGGTGTCGACACCATGGGTTAATAGTCCAGAATCAAACTTTCTGTTTTCTGTTTTGTGTCGACACGTAATTCAGAGTGTCAGCACCATACATTCAGCGTCGAACATTCAAGTTTCTTATTCTATTTCAATTCCTACTTCTATTTCAAATCTTACTTCTATTCCAATTAGGGTTTCTAAAACATTATAAATACTCATCCAAATTCAAAATTAAAAGAGCTTGGGAGGTTGGTGGCAGCCCTCTTTTGGGTATTCTTGGAGATCAAGATAAAAATTTAAGAATTTATTTATAATTTCTAAATTTTTTCAATTTTTACAATTGTAAAAGAGTATAAGAATTTGTTTATAATTTGTACTTTTTTTAATTATATTTTTATTTATTTGGATATTAATGTATTTTATATTTATGTTTTTTACTTAATGTTAAATTTATTTACATTATCTCATATATTTAATAGTGTTAAAAATTGATCAATCTGACCGAACCACACCAATCCGATTTAAATTGGATTGGTTTGGTTATCATATAATAGTAGATTAGATTGGTTTAAAAATTTTACTAATTGATTAAATTGGATTGGATTAAAAAATGTTAAAATCTGAACCAAACCACACCGCGAACACCCCTAATATAAATTATTAAATTTTCATATAAAATTTATATTCGAAAAGTTAAAAAGTCAAATTAAAACTACTAAAAATGAACAGATTGGAAAGAGTAATTACTATATATATTTTAGTAATATACTATTTGATATTTACAATTGCCTCCCTACTTACCTAAATCGAAAATGATTGATACCCATTCGGTTCAATACACTTTTAACATTTATTTTGGTTTAGTTCTTAAAATATAATATAACTATAGTCGATTTAATCAGTTCTTTCATCATGTCTGCATGATTATATCTTTAAATTTGTTTATTTTTAATTTTAAATTAAAAAATTAATAATTTTTAATAAATTTATTGTGTAATATATTTAACGGATCGAAATATATATCAATCATTGTCGTACCTAAATATGTCACTCTTGGGGTGCCCAAATAAGGTAACAACATGAAAAAAAATGGAAGAAAATCCAATGAAAAACCTAAGAGACACGTTTTTACACCTTGGCATCCAATAATAAAAATGCTGAATCAATTTCAAATTGTATATCTATTTTTTCTAATTTTTGCGTTTTTTCTCCCCACCAAACCCCATTTCATTTAATGAAGTTTCCTTTTAAGATTTTTTTGCAATGCTAAAAATGGCTTAATTTCATAATTTTAAAAAACAATTCCAGATTGTATTCATGAATTCTCCCGCCTGTAATTTGTTTTTTTTCAACCTAAATTACAAGATAAGGACAGAATGTACTCATTTTTACCAATCGTTACCTAGTCCAAATTGGTCCACTTGGAACCAAAACCTTTGTATATTTACAAGTCTCTCCACTTCTAACACCTATATATAACGGCTCACTTTCCTATCTTCATACACACAAAAAACAGTAAGCATCTTAAGAGCCTAAGGTTGAAGGCAAAATGGTGATCATCACTAGTCTAGATGAGAAGGATAACATGGAGACCCATCCATACACAGAGAAGGAGCCAGAAAGGACAACACCATCTGTCGAAGAAGCTTACTGGCAATGGCAGCAACCACCGAGTTACCATCAATGGGGTCCACCACCACCGCCTGCTGATTGGCACCAACCATATTCATCATGGGCGTCTGCAGCGGCTGCTGGCTACTATTGGCAGTCAGACCAGGCCTCGAGACCCCAATGGTACGATCAAAGCTTTCATGTGCCACCAAATTATGACTACTATAGATCGCAATATGGTGCAGGGATGTCAGGGCCGACACCTGATCAACAGTGGCACTACTGCCACCCTAGTGGTGGCCCATTTCCATGGTGTTCATATGGTTCTTTTGTAGAGGAGGTAAGATATGGTTTTGAGGTTAAGATCCCTTTTACATCTACTCAAATATAGATCTGGTTCTTAATTGAGCAAATTCTAATTTTTCTTTTCTTTTCTTTTCTTTTCTTTTTCAGGACCCTTACAATGCCTTTTATGGGGTATTTTTATCTTAAACTAAAATTCCTCGAAATACTTCAATGCATAATGAAAAAACATACGAAGAAAAATAAAGGGGAAAAAGACAAAGGAACCAAATGTTTTGTCTAGTAGCAATGGCTTAAAAAACTAAGAAAACTCCGATTACTCTATTTTCATCTGTCGATTTTGTTTTCTTTTTGTAATCTTAATTTCTCTCACTAATTAGTTTTTTTTCTTAATAATTTGTTATATTGTTTCAGCCACCACCGAAACAAGCCTATAACTTTTGCGAAAGGCCACAACAAGGTGTCCATTCAACATCTTTCCCAAGTTCAAGAGATACGATGTTTGAAAATTTTGAGGTAATGATTTTTTATCTGGTCCTAAAAATGTTTCAAGTTAATTATTTTGAAATCGCCATTTTTTTGGCCGAAGAAAAAATCACCATTTTTTATTGTTGTGTGGTAAAAGATAAAATGGAGTAGAATTAATTGAAAAAAAATATAATATATGTGTGTATAATTGAATGGGAATTTTGTCCACAATATTAAAATGATGAATTGTATGCTTTAAAATTTGAAACAAATGAAAAATCTATGCTAAATGTGTTTGCTATGTCATTGCTTTAATTTAACAAAAATGGAAAAGAAAAAGACTTTTTCTATAAATCATAATTCCTATTGATCATTAGTTGTTAATTGTTGGTTATTAATCATTTATTTGGAAAAATGTATCATATTTTATCTAACTTTGTTTTATCCTATTAGTCGTTAATCGGTATTATCGTTAATCGTTATTATCATTAATCATTTGCTTAAATTTTGTATAATTTTGTTATCTTCCTTATAAGGAGATTGCTAACCATTTACCATTAATATTTTTTTCAATATAATTTTTGAAATCTACTTTCTTAATTTTTATATAAGTTAGTACAACGCCTCCAAATCATCTTTAGGTTACTCCACCAACTTAAATGAAAGTATCTTAATTATACCTTTAAATTCAACAAATTGTTGTACAATTTTTTTAAACATTTGATTTAATTGGTTCTTGTAGCCACAACAACATCCAAATTATGACTTTTACCAAAGGCCACAACAAGGTGTCAATCCGACACCTTTTGCAAGTGCAAGAGATGCTACGTCTGGAAATGATAAGGTAATGTTTTTTCATTTTATTTCTTGACAACATTATTTCAGGTTAAAATAGTTGATATTCATCACTTTTTTCTTGTTGGATCAAGATAGCTAGCTAGATTAATGGATTAGATATGAAAGAAAAGAAATTATTTTTAACAGCAAAGACATGTCATATCTCTCTAGTTGTAAAGATATATGTTTTTAATCTTGTTTGAACAGGAGTACTTGTGGTTAGGGCCAGGGAACATGAACATGGCAGGCACTTCTAGACTGAACACAACCACCGCGAACACGCCTGCTGCTGGTCCTTCAAGATCAAGACCTACAGCTTCCCATATGCCTGGAAGTTCAAGAACAAAACCAATGACATCCGAGATGCCAATGGCAAATATTCCTTGTGCTTCTTCTTCAACTCCAAGGCAGAAAACAATGGCTAGTCCTGCTGGAAACAAAGAATCATTGGATGACATGCTTACAAGAGAACTAAAACACATAGTTAAAGTAAGTTTCTTTCTCGACACTTTCTAGTTTAGACAGCCATGCATGTACAAAGCACTGTTTTTTGCAAATTAAATTTCTCTAACATCCTTGATGTATTCTTCGCCATTTCAGCAAGCAATTGGGAACTTAATGGAGAAAAGTAACAGGGAGGGAGGAGTAGTGTTCGATCCTACTCCAATAAGAATTGTATTACCTGAGGAGGACGAGGATAATCGTCCACCAAGTCCTGAGGTAGAAACAATATTAAATTTAAATAAACATTTATATATATAATATACTTAATTTTCTTAATATAATTTCAAGTCACATTTTAATGTTCACGTCTGGTTTTTTACACTATAGGTCGGAGAATTAGCCCTCGAAGTAGTAGAAGAAGAACCAAAGACACAGAAGAAACAGAGGGCGAAGACTGGGTTGGTTGGAATTGAACATCTTTCTTTCAGTGATCGTCTCCCTGAGCCAGTAATGCAATCAATAAATGATTTTACATCAGTAAGTACTTTCTTTTTTTTTTTTTGTAGCTTTTTACACATTTGATTGTTTTCTACAAATTCAAAATGATTTAATTAACTTTCTAAAACTCTTCTTATCTGTCTTATGTTTCAAATCTGAACTTAAAATATTGAAATGGTCACATTGATTTAAACATGTATGTGATATATATTTTTCTGCAGAAATGGAAAGCACCATACAAATATACCTTGGTTGAAAGACTGAATGGATGGCGTCTGGAGAGAAAACAACGAGTTAATGCAAGATATGACTCGGTAATTTGAATAATTTTTATGTTAATAGTTAATTAATGGTTGATTGATTAACCCTAAACCCAACTAAAACTTGGTTTAATTTGAAATTTGTGATCATGTATTCTGTGCAGTACTATTATCATGAAATCTCGAGTGGCTTTTTCCGATCAGTTATAGAGATATCAAGGTTCGTGTTAAGGGAGGAACGCCCAAGCAGAAGGTAGAGCTTGGCGAAGGAAGAAGGTGTTAGAAAAGAAAGCAACATAAAAACAGAAATATTCTATGGTGTGATTTTACTTCTTTTTATAGACTTAAAAATTTTTTAGATGCAGCAGAACTTAAAATCTTTCTTGAAATTAGATGTAAAAATTAAATTTTGTGATTGAAATATGTATTGATCTGAATCAACATCAATTGTGTGGTTGTGTTCACCTACAAAGAGCTATTTTGAAAAGAAAAAGGTGTATGTTAATGGCTAAAAGTCAAGTTTGAATTTCACAAGTCTCTTCTATTTTGAAATTCAAAATTTTAATTGACATTAATAAAAAAAGTAAAATATTTTATAGTAGGTCAAAATCCATCTTAAATGAACATATTTTCCAAGGTAAAAATCTACTTTGAGCTCTTTACCTTAATAAATTTGTAGGTATTAACCCTTCATATTTTATTATGATATTTTTAGTCCCTCACCTATACAAATTGAAGAAAATAACTTTTATTTAACGTTAGATTATAATGTTTTGTTAGTTCTGTTAGTTTTATTATGATATTTTTAGTCCCTCACCTATACGAATTGAAGAAAATAACTTTTATTTAACGTTAGATTATAATGTTTTGTTAGTTCTGTTAGTTGATTATTAGTTCTATTAACTGATCGTTAATTCTGTTAATTGATTGTTAGCATTTCGTTAATGAAACTAACAAATAAAATTAAATTTAAATTTCATATTTTTTATAATAGAATACTAACAGTCAGTTAACAAAACTAACTGTTAACTAACAGGACATTAAATAAGGGCTATTTTCTTCAATTCTTATAAGTGAGGGGCTAAAAGTGTCATAATATAAGATGAGGGGTTAAAACCTATAAATTTATTAAGATAAATGTCTAAAAATAGGTTTATGCCTATTGACAAAACCTAAACACAAACCCAAAGCCCACAGATTATGAGTCCAACTTCACTTGAACCTGGCCTATGGGCCAAGTGGTGTTAGCCACACTTAAAGGTTCATTTCCTCCTCTTTTAAGGGCAACGGTTTTACCGGCCCCATGGTAAAAATATTGAAAAAAAAAAAAAAAACTTCACTTAATCAATACCATTTATTGAATTTTGCTACCATTATAAGGCCCAAAGATCTAAAAATTTATTAATGTCAAGATCTCTCTTTTATATATATAAGTGGATTTTAATCTTCAAAAAAAAAATTATAATTTTATTTGAAGAATTCAACATTTTCTTTTTTAAATTAGAATGGTGATTATCCATTTATTTCTCATTGTTAGTTAAAAGTTGAAAACTAAATGAATTCAAATTAAAATAATCACCTTTTGAACCGAAACCTTTTGTATGTGGAAGCTAGCTACACATTAAAATAATTAAAAAATACCTACTTAAATTTAATTTGAATCTTATGGAACAAAAATACTTTTAGATTAGGTCATTTATTCAGAATTATAACTTCACCTTATTAAATTTATAATTTTAATTTACAATTAATTTTAACATATTATCCTTTTAAATATCAACATTATACAAATCAATTCCAAAGTTAATGTGATATTCGCATAATTTTTCTCCTAATGAAGAATGTTCCAATTGCTCAATTATCTAGAAAACAAAAGATGAACAAAGTTAGTGAGTATAAATTTAGACCAAAATCAATACTACATACTAAATTGTGCTGCCATTAAGGTATAAAATGCATTAAGTCCCAAAGATTGAAAAGAGACTGAAATTTTATTAATGTTTAGATATCTCTTCTATCTATTAGCCACTTTTAGTCTTTTCTTTTTAAATTTAATTTTAAATTGTGATTTTATTGGGAGATTTCAATTTTTTTCCTTAAATTAGATGGTGATTATTCATTTACTTCTTATTGTTAACTAAAGGTTGAAAACTAAATGAATTCAAATTAAAATGATTACTTTATCCACAAGATAAACAAAATTAAAAAAATCCTACTTAAATCTAATTTAAATTTTATATAACAAAAACACTATTAGATTAGGTCATTTATTCATAATTACAATTTCACCTTTTTAAATTTATAATTTAAATTCACAATTAATCTCATCATATTATCTTTTAAAATTTCAACATTATAAAAATCTTTTCCAAAGTGATGTTTGCATAGTCTTTCTCTAAAGGAAGAATGCTCCAATTGCTAATCCTCCAAATAAATAAATAAATAAAAGATGAACGAAATTAATGAATATAAATTTAGAGCAAAATCAATACTATTTATTAAATTTTACTGTTATTAAGGCTCAAAAAGCATTAAGGCCCGAAGATAGAAAATATACCAAAATTTTATTAATATCTAGATATCTCTTCTATATATCAACCTATTTTAATCTTTTCTTTTTAAATTTAATTTTAAATTGTGATTTTGTTTGGATATTTCAATATTTTCTTCCTTAAATTAAAATGGTGATTACCCATTTACTTCTCATTGTTAGCTACATGTTGAAAACTAAATGAATTCAAATTAAAATAATTACTTTATCCACAAGATAAACAAAATTGAAAAATCCTACTTAAATCTAATTTGAATATTATATAACAAAAACTACACAGTCATTTATTTGGAATTATAACTTTTCCTTTTTTAATTTTTTATTTTAATTTCCCATTTGGCCTTTGTTGGTTTCTTTTTTTGTTTCACCCCTTTCCCCTTATTCTGTTCTTTAAAAATTTTTTTTTTTTAATCTAAAATTAAAGACAAACAAATTTAAAGATGTAATCATCCATATAAAATATAAAAACTAATTGAATCAGTTATAATTAATAGTTAAACCAGATAAGGGTCAAAGGGAGTATCACACCAGAAGATATACTAATAATTTTCCTTGCATAATTTTTCTCCTTAGGAAGAGTGCTACAATTGTTCAATCCTCCAAGAAGAAAAAAATATGAACAAAATTAGCTAGTAAGTATAAGTTTAGAGTGAAATTCCCTTGTAGCAGAGCAGAAACCACTAGCTATAATTTAAGCAATAAGAAATGGGTAACATATGTAAATTCATTTATTTTCCCAGTCTTCCAAGATATGGAATATACACAAGTTCCAACAATTTCAAACCATTTATCGGAATATATTCATATAAGTCTGGTAAGAAACAATGAGTTCTTTCTCCTTCTTGACGAATTAAGAAAACAACAGTTTTTTTTTTTTTTTTTCTGCTGGCAAACATATATAGGAAAAGAAATACCACATATTGCTATTTAGTTTTTTACAGTTATTCAGGACTATAAAATCCACACTGGTGACCAACTGACCATAGCCTGAACTTGGATCTGAATGGTAAATCATGTAAGGTTGAAATGAGAGAAGATTTCCAGCTTAATGTTGCACAGCATTTACATGAGCAACAATACAATGCTTTACAGCAACAACTTTCTCTATCTTTTCCACAACCTCATGGAGTGCTAAAGAGGAAAATTAAGAGCGCAGGAAGTGAGGCCGATAACAACAATGGAAATGCATTCGTTGGTTGCAAACTTAAGAGATGAGAGACATCATTCTTTGATGGAAATCCCTAACAATTTGTGGGGATGATTGGAACAAGCCTAAAAGTGACCTACCCTAATTGATGATGGTGATTGGATTCCACCGGTTATGTTTCTTTGGTTTCAATGTAGAGTTAGGTTATTTGGAGGACCATAGATTTTCTTTTTGGGACATGATATTATTTAATAGGAAGAGCCCTCTCTTTTCTCAAATCTCTCTTTATTTGATTTAAGGTTCAAACTTAAAACCTATAATTTGAAATCTCAACCTCTAATCATCAATTAATCCTAAAAACTGAATTTATTGGTAAGTAAGTGTCGTTTTGTAGGTTAGATCTAAGGATCAACTCTTGTGACAAGCATTCAAGGAATTTAATTTCCTTAAATGCACCAAGACAATATGGGATGTGTCCTTAAAATTACTCAAAGAATGATTAGTTTTAAGATATGCTACAACTTAAGTGAGAATACACTCATTGTCCAAACCCAAAAAAAAAAAAAGAAAAAAAGAAAAAAGAAGAAGAACTTATTAGTTGAAACAACATCGGACTAGATTACAGATATAGGTTGTTTTCAATTGATACTCTCATTGGGGCTTGATTACAAGAAATATATAGTTGTTTTGAAGCACCAATTCTTAGATATAGATGAATTATTTGAAAAACAAGGAAAGCTAACCAAACTTAGAACAAAATCCATTTTTATGACCAAAGAAGGGGGAAAAAAATTAAAGACTAATTCTTGGCCTAGATAATTCTTTGAAAAATAAGAAAAACTAGCTAAATTAGGCACCAAATCCCTTCTTATAACCAAAAAGACAATAAAATTTTTTAATGCATCAATTTCTGACCATCTGAATTCATTGAATAACAAGGAAAGCTAGCCAAATTAAGAACAAAATCAAAATGACAGAAGGGCAATAACATTTTTGAAGGAACCAATTCTT